GAGTTGTGTGTTTACACGATCTTATTTTATTCGAAAAATGTAGGGTTTTTGATAGATTTACTAATTAATTGAAGTTCAATACTTTTTTATACTATGCATGCAGAATGGTGATATATACGTTTGAAAATGGAGCAAAACCGAATATTTAGATATCTAATTTAAGCCACAACAATTGTCCTCAACTTCCAATGCTCTTGTCTCGTCTTTTTTTTTTCTTCATAAAACAGAAAAAGAGAATTTATAAAACTGAGAATAAATGTTTTCGTTATTGCAAAGGAACCGTACACAAACACACACGCTATGAAAACTACGTAAAGAGAAACCCTATACTCCTAGCCCGAGAATCTTAACACATGTTCTTCTTCCAATACTTTGCACCATTTTAATAGAAATTGTTAATTACTCCAAGTACAATACAGTCCCCACGACTTAAGAATCTACCCTCTCTCTCTTTTGTGAATATATTTACGAAATTGGCTATGAACTTAGATTTTTATTTCATTAAAGAAAAAAACTTAGATTTTTACTATTCACCCCCTCTTTTCACAATCCAATGCAAGTTTTCTATACGAAAAGTAAAAAGTAATATACGAAATAAATTTATTAGATTTATTTTCTATGTTGTAGACTTATTTTTTATGTGATAGATTTATTTTATATGTTGTAAACTTATTTTTTATACTGTAAATTTATTTTATAAAAAATTTTTAGGATATCTCACCAAAGGAGATGTTCTAACTGTCGTTACAGGATAATAATGTTTTTGCATGACAACCACTAATGCGTTTTATTTTCTTGATTCTACAAAGCCTGATATCTAAACTATGGTAAGGCTCACAAACAATAGTTTCCCTTTATCCGTAACAAAAGTTTGAAAACAGAAATTAGGCCAAAGTGAAAAAAGGGAAAATTGAGCCAATATTGCCTCTTATATATACATGGTAAATTGATCTCTAAAGTGGGAAAACTCGAATATATCTAACCACATGGTAAATTTTCAACCACTAAACCACCACAGTTTAAGTTTTTGATTTAAAAAGGATAAGAACAAAAGGCCGAGTCTATGCTAAAAATCAAATACGGTTCATGGAGAGATCGGAGATCATAAGGGTAGATGTTAGATAAAGAGGGCTGCCTCGTAAAATGTTAAGTAAGATAGAAGATTTGAAGAAAGATGATGGATGGGCCATGACATGACTGAATATGCATTCAAAGATTAAAGTGAGACATGTTTTTCTTTCCTTTATCTTGTTTTCTTGAAGTTGTATTACTTCATAATATTAGATTCTATTTCCATGATCTGCTTAACTTCAAACTCTTCCCATGGAGTAGACAATGAAATATTTTCCGAGGAAAAAGAAAGATCTTCCAAATATCTCAAACTGTACATCATAAGATGTCAATTATATGTCATCTTTTGTAATAAAACCAACTTTGCAATTTGGGTCTTTATTTTCAACAAATTGCTTTGCATAGGAATATATAAGATTTTGAACAAAAAAAGGAATATATAAGATTTATTTCAAAATCTACTATCTTATCCTATTTGTGGCTTTAAATATGCTCTATAAAAGGTAAAAAAACTAAGTAATCCCCAAGCATAGTTAATAATCGGTATCTAAAATTCTGCGTCGAGTTGCCCTTCAAAGTATCAATACCTTTTTATTGAATTGTTTATATATATAATTTGAGTTTTTGTTGGCTTTTCATTCAAAGTTCAAACGCAAAAGTTGTTCTTTGGAAATCTTGCTTTCATGTGTTCTGCTAAGCTAAAGCGAAACTGATCTTAGTTCGATCTTTGTTTGTTATCTGAAAAGATTCCTACCTTTAATTAATTATATATCCTACACTGAAAACCAGCATTCATTTTTTCTC